CTTCTCACTGCGTAGCGTTAATGTCTTGGAATTCATCGAGTAAAACGTGGGTAAATTGTCGCTGGTATTCTTCCTGCTTGTCAAAGATTTGCGGAAATTTACGAAGACGCCCAACGTCTTTTAGAAATTGAAGCAGCCTGAGCCAGCGAAAAAGTTAATCAACTTACCGAAATAATGATTTGTTTAGAATTAATAGGTATAGAGAAAGGTAAATTGCCTCTACACGGTAATTTAATAATTCCCCAACGTATAAATCCCACGGATAGTTACGAGGAAAAGCAACGCAAGAGGAAAGTATTTTGGGAATGTCAGCCCCGCAATCACCAGATTTTAGAGGAAAAAGCCCAAGCAATAACTTTAACCAAAGAACTATTAAAAATAGAAAATGACCCGGTCGAACAGCGAAAAATTATTGCTGAAAGAGAGAGAGAGAGAGAGAATGTTTCCTCTGCTCGTGGTTCAGGTTATCAAACACGCTTTGAGAGATTTACGATATTCACCGAAGATAGGCATCCAGTAACGACAACATTTACCCAAAGAGGGACCGAGCCAGAGGCCCCCACTTTTGACTTTGTCAACCAGCATGCGGAAGATATCGTTCGAGAAGCCTTAACCCAACAAAATGATAATCGTCGCCACAATAACCACGACGACAACAAAGAAACCAATGCTTTTTATTACTGATTTATGTTTATTTTAGCTGGAGTTTGAGTGCTAAAAATGATAATTATCGTTATCAAAAATAAAAAACAACCACCTCGTCGCACAGGTTTAACAATATAGGTGGTTAGCACCGGTCGGCTTAATAGATTTTCTGGCAAGGATAATTTGCAATAGTCTCCATTTTTTTAAGATGAACCAGGAAATATTGAAACCTTAAACCAAACAAATTCAGTTTTCAAAATTCTCCTTGAATAATGTTAAGCATTTGACCGAAAAATGTAATAAATGGATTATTTACAAGACTTAAACCCTCAGCAAAAGCAAGCCGTATTAGAACTGCACCCCCGCGTTTGTGTGATTGCTGGTCCCGGCTGCGGCAAAACGAAAACTCTGGTCAGTAAAGCCATTTATTTACTTGCCAGCCAGCAAGCCCAGCCCCAAAATATTCTTATTCTGACCTTTGCCAAAAAAGCCATTAAGGAAATCAAAAAAAGGATTTTTGACCAATTGGATTTTGTCGCCCAAAAGAACTTACACATTTATAATTTCCATTCTTTTTGTTTCCATGTTTTAAGCCAACATTCCTATTTGCTGGGTTTTCCCGCCAGCAAATTTCCGGTCTATGACCGCCACGAACAAGAAGAAGTAGTAAGAAAAATTGTTCGGCAAATTAATTATAACCACGACCAAAAAGAAATAAATACCCTTATTTCTTGCATTGGTAACTGGAAAAATGGCAAATTAGCCGCTGACCCGAGTGAATTCGACGAAATAACCCAGAAGCGATACGAGATATACCAAAAATACCAGGAATATTTGCAAGTTAACAAGGCTTTAGACTTCAATGACCTACTTATTTACACCATCCGACTTTTCCGCCAATACCCCTCCGTGCAGGAAGAATACCAGCGACAATTTACCCACGTTTTACTCGATGAATTCCAAGACATTAACGCTACGCAGTGAGAAG